ATTTTATTCCCCCTCCCCACATCACAGAAACAAACCAGTTTTCCCTGAGTATAGCACAAATTCAGCGTGATTTCAAATACAGCATCTTAATTATAATACAGTATTCAGTAGATTATAATTAAAACCATCTTTGCTGATTGTTTTGAGGATACATTATACGTTAGTATAGGAATACGTATGCTACCAGTATAAAATATTCAATAAGTGCTAGTTGGGCTTTTAAAAAAATATTTTTCTATTTCTTTTCTCTTGCATTCCCACTATGCTAAGGACTTTCTATAATGATACCAGCATGTAGAGTATATTGGCCAGTCACTGTTCAAATCCTTTGATGTGCATTCAGTCCTTCAGAGCTCACAATGACCTAAAGAGGTAGTTACTATTGTTACAATTCCCATTTTACCGATGAGAAAACTGGAGTGCAGAAGTTTAAATAACTTGCCCCATGTCACACAATGTGTAAATGGCAGAAAACGTTTTTGAACCCAGAGCCAGTTTTCTTAGACATTAGGTTGCTCTAGGTTTAGCCTCATCAAAACCCTGTGAGGGAGGTATTTATGATCCCCATTTTACAGATGAGAAAACTGAGGCTCAGAGAGGCTTAGCAATTTGACTAAAGCCATCAGAGTCAGAATTGAACCCTAAGTATGTCCCTCAAAAGCATGTGTTCTCTTGCTGAACAGCCAGGACGGGGCTCTGGCTTCACAGTACCCTTGTTCCTGCTGGGTGGTGCAAGGCTGCCTGAGTGGTGAACTCACCTGAGTAGATTCTGGTGTTTTCATGACTAGGAAAGACTTCACTGCTGGATGTGCACAGGACAGCACTGTCATCTGGGAGCCAATGAACAGTGCAAAAGAAGTGAGAATGGTGCCATGGTAGGAATTTTAAGGAGCCAACTGTGTTCAACTCTTGCTGCCAGACTTCTGGAATAGGTGTGTGATGATGTGTGATGAGGCAGGAGCTTGGAACACCTGCTGTCTTCCAGGTGACCACCATATTGCCAGATCCAATGAGCAACATGCCCCATCCTACTTCAGTTCTCCATGGCATTCGACATGCTTCATTACTTCTTCCTTTTTGAAATGTTTTCGTACCTTGACTCAGGACCACCTAGTCCCTTACTTTCTCTCCTACATTACTGGCTACTTCTTCTATGCTCCTTTATGCAACATCTTCCTGCCTTTTCTGGTCTCTGAATGTTGGGGTCCTTGGATTTTCTCTTACACATGCAACATCATGGCTTCAATACCAACTAAACGCCAGTGATGCTCAGATGCATGTCTTAGCTTCATCTCTTTCCTGGACGCAAAGCATGTCTAAGTCACCTAAGCAACATCTCTGCGTAGATGCTTGATGGTTCTCCCAAACTTAACGCAGCCATGCTGGAATTCTTTGTTCCCCCCATGTAATAATTAGCTCTTGCCGTGTAACAGATTATTCTAAAACTTAATGATGTAAAACAATAGTAAACATTTATTACTATTTATTTATTACCTCACACCGTTTCTTTGGGTCACTTCTCTGTGACTTACTTACTAAGCTGGATGATTCTGGCCTTGAGATTCTCATGAGGTTGCAGTCAAGATGTCAGCCAGGTCTAGTCATCTGAAAGCTTGACTGGGACCAGATGATCACTTCTAGGATGGCTCATATGGCTGTTGGTGGAAGACCTCAGTTTCTGACTCTTGGCAGGAGACCTTGCACTTGGACCTCTCTATTGAATTTCTCAAGACATGGCAGCAAGAGAAAACCAGGACAGGTATCCAAGAGAGAAGGCAGAGGAGCCACAATATCTTTTTGGTCATGGAAGGCACTTGCTATCACTTCCACTATATTCTTTTGGCCAGACAGATGAGCCTGCTACAGTGTAGGAGGGGACTACCCCAACTACAATAGCCAATCTAATCTCAACTCACATGGACCACAATAAGCTAACAGGCATTCCTGTTTCCTCTTTTGCCACAAAGGTCTTTTCTGCTCCAGCGTGCAGATCAGGATCAACATCAAGCTCACGTTTCTCTTCTCAGCAACCTCCAATGGTTCCCATCTTACTCAGAGTGACAGCCAGTGCCCTTGCCATGGTGTACATGATCCCCTCCTAGCTGCTTTTCTGGCCATCTTTCCAAAATGACTCCCCTGCACTCTAGAAGAACCTCTGTGCTGTTCCTCAAGCCTGTATTTTCTTAGAATTCTGTGTGTGCTGTGCCCTCTCCCCAGACTACCCCCCCCCCACATAGACATTGGGCCTATTTCTTCATGTCAGCCAGGTTACTGCTCAAATGGCACCACCTCAGAGAGGCCTTCCTTGGCCATTACATCCAAGATGGCATCTCATTAATCTAAAGCCCCTTGCTTTGTTTTATTTTCTTCATGTCTTTATTAATACTGGACTGCATACTGTATATTTATTGGTTTTCTTGTTTATTACCTGTCTCCTCTAGAGGGCAGAAATACCATCCATTTTTATTATTGCTGGACCTTCCCATGGCACCTAAAATGGTGCCTAGCACCTAACAGTTGCTCAAAGATTAATCAGTGGGCTTCATGAATGTACTACATGGGAGCAATGAATTTATTTGGAAAGGTACTACCCAGTAGAACTTTCTGCAGTGGTGAAAATGTTGTATATCCATGCTGTCCAATGTGTGGCTATTGGATACTTAAAATGTATCTGAATAATGTAACTGAGGAACTGAACTTTTTATTTTAATTTTTTTTGTTGATTTCAATTAAGTAGTTACATGTAGCCAGTATCCATATATTAGAGTAGATATAGATCCTTGAGATAGACGGGGGTGGGGGCATATACGTGTCATTTCCTGTACATCCCAGTAGAGTGGTAGAGATTTCCTAGGGTGCTGTGTTAGTATAATCAAAAATCTTTTTGGAGAGCTTTCTGTGTACCCAGCACTGTGTTGTCATCAGAATATTATATATGAGTGCATTGATCGATTAGTGCATTCTATCCTGCGCAAGAAGGTGAATGTGGCACGATGTGGTATATTCATGACCTCAGCCATTCCAGGGTTGGTCAAAGATCCTTCCTGATACCTCTCAGGGAGCAATTGCTGGCTGTACATCAAGTATCATATAAACCCCTCAATGACTTCCCCTACCCTTGTTCTGTCTTCCCTCCCTATATTCCTCTGTTGAGTTCCCTCAATCCATCCTTAATTACCAGAGTAAAGTGTTCTCTGCCAGAATCCTTTTGAAGGATGACCAAATTTCCTTTCACACATACAGCCCTGCAAATTTTGGCTGCTCTCAATTATATTTCTACATATTTGATGAGAGCATTGTTCGTACCTTATGGTCCATACTGAAAAGCTGCTTAGCACAGGGAACCATATTTTTCCTTTTACATATATCTGCTAGGTTATATGTGTGGATAGCACATTCCCCCCCTCCAGTAGATGGGTTCAAAAGCATGGACAAAGGCCTTCCATCCCTATCTTATTGAAGACTAACACCTGTTAATGACAAATGGGATCTTATATTCCCAAAAAGGAAAACAAGGCCTAAATACACATTGGATAAGGCACATTTTAACTAAAACTCTCCGTGTGGTTCAGATGAGGGGGGAGAAAGCCCTCTCCTAGGAGCAGTGGGTACAGTTGTTGCCCAGCCGTATCCCTTCATCACCTATTGCTTCTGTCTGCCAACGCTGCTTTCCTTTGTCTAAAGCAGTAGTTCTCAGCCAAGAACAATTTTACCCATATTCTGGGGATATTTTTTTTTTTAATTTTTTTTTCAACGTTTATTTATTTTTGGGACAGAGAGAGACAGAGCATGAACGGGGGAGGGGCAGAGAGAGAGGGAGACACAGAATCGGAAACAGGCTCCAGGCTCTGAGCCATCAGCCCAGAGCCCGACACGGGGCTTGAACTCACGGAGCGCGAGATTGTGACCTGGCTGAAGTCGGACGCTTAACCGACTGCGCCACCCAGGCGCCCCTCTGGGGATATTTGAAAACATCTCAAGAAATTTTTGCTGGTAATGACTGGCAGAAGAGGCTGCTCCTGGCATCTAGTGGGTAAAGGCCAGGGATGCTGCTAAACATCCTGCAATATCCAGGGCAGTCGCCCACACAGTTATCTGGACCCCAAAATCAATAGTACCAAAATTGAGAAATTCTGGTTCTAAGAGCTTTCTCTACCCACTGGAGCCTACCCAGCCCAGAACATGGCAGGCCAGAAGTGCCAGGAAACTAATATCCATGGAAGCAGATGTTAAACAGTGTTTTAAAGGGAGCTGGTGCATAAATATTCCAGCTCTCTGTCCCTCAGATGGGATAACTCCCAGGTACATGCTTAATATAGTCTCTGAGGATGCAGAGTTACCTAGTGGAATTAGGTTCCCTGTTTCATTGGTAACTTGCTGTGCCTGTTAGGGTTCACTAGAGAAACAGAACCAGTAGGGGTGTGTGTGTGTGCGCGCACACACAGAGAAAATGAGTCCTCTGTGGATGACCTTAGTCTTTTCACTTAAAGCCTTCAACTGATTGGATGCAGCCCACCCACTTTATGGAGGGCAGTCTGCTTTGCTCAAAATCTACTCATTTAAATGTCAATGACATCTAAAAAATACCTTCACAGTAATATCTAGACTAGTTTTTGACTAAACAACCAGATGCCATGGCCTAGCCAAGTTCACTCATAAAATTAACCATCATAGTCTATGACTCACCCTTTATTGGTTTTCCCCTTCCTTGTCTCACTTCATAACTCCTGGGATCACCTCTCACCATTTATATTCAAATCCAGGTCTCATAGTCTGCTTCTGGGGATTTTAGTATGGAAAGGGGAAGAAAGAGGCTGGATGGGGGTAGAGGGTAGGTAAATGGTGGAAGCAGGGACAACCTGGGACCTCACAAGGTAAGTGTCACCCACGACCATGTTGTATAATGGCACTCTTCATTCAGGCCAACTGTGGGTTGGCTCGCTGACTGCGGCATTCAGATCTAGCATGTGAATATTTTCCATCTGTGTCTGTCTTCCCAGGTGGATTACGATCGAGCACAGATGGTCCTCAGCCCTCCGCTGTCAGGGTCTGACACCTACCCCAGGGGGCCCGCCAAACTACCTCAAAGTCAAAGCAAAGCAGGCTACTCCTCAAGCAGCCACCAGTACCCATCTGGGTACCACAAAGCCACCCTCTACCACCACCCCTCCCTGCAGACCAGTTCACAGTACATCTCCACAGCTTCCTATCTGAGCTCTCTGAGTATCTCATCCAGTACCTACCCCCCACCCAGCTGGGGCTCCTCTTCAGACCAGCAGCCCTCCAGGGTGTCCCATGAACAGTTTCGGGCTGCTCTGCAGCTGGTGGTCAGCCCCGGAGACCCCAGAGAATACTTGGACAACTTTATCAAAATCGGAGAAGGGTCAACTGGCATTGTGTGCATCGCAACTGAGAAACACACAGGGAAGCAAGTTGCAGTGAAGAAAATGGACCTCCGCAAGCAACAGAGACGAGAACTGCTCTTTAATGAGGTATGTGGTGTGTTCAGATCATTATTTCTCTCCTATGTAACATTTATTTCCCATGCAAAAATATCCCATGCAAAAAAATACACATACAGTGTAGGATACTAGAAAGCAATGAAAATATAAATACAAAAATAGTGCCCCCATAATCCTTCTGGTCTTTTTCTATGCATGTATGGCTGCTACATTTACAAAGTACTTCATGTGAATCAGCCACTATGCTAAGCACTGATATGGCCTGATTTGCACAACAACCCTATGAGACCGACATTATTGCTATAGCAACAAGGAAACCTGGACTCAGGTTAAGTGACTAGCCCAGGGTCATAGAGCAGGTCAATGATAGATCTGGGATTTGAATTCTAGCAGATTCCAAAGCCTCATGCTACACTGTCTATGTAGATGTATATATACATTTTACACATGGTGGTGATACCATGTATATACCCTTTATAGCCATTTTTTAAAAATCTCAATAAACAGGGACATCTGCGTGGCTCAGTCGGTTGTGTCTGACTTTGGCTCAGGCCATGATCTCATGGTTCATGAGTTCGAGCCCCATATCAGGCTCTGTGCTGGACAGCTCTGTCTCCATCTCTCAATCCATCTCTCTCTCTCTCTGTCTCTCAAAAATAGACATTAAATTTTTTGTTAATTAAAGATTTAAAAAATAATCTCAATAAACAGAGGTCAGCTTAGTGACAGATTATCACTCTTTGGGAAATTTAAGATATGTTTTCCTAACTATAGTAATAATGAATTCTTCCTGTGGAAAATACAGAAAATGTCCCATAATCTCACAACCAAGAAATAGCTACTTTAATATTTCAATATTTCTATATTTTTTCTCTTTAGAGAAAGTAATATAAAGTATTGACTTACAGAAAGTTTGTAACAATGAGGGCCCTCACTGATACAGTCTTATGTCATCCTTACCAGCACTGGATACTGTCATGTGATCTCTGTTAATCTGATAGAGATAAATAAATCTTCTTGCTTTAATTAACACTATTATTACTAGCGAGGCTGAATTTATCTTTATGTGTTAATAGGCCATTTTTATTTCTTCATTAAACCATATGTCCTTTGCACAGTCTTCAATTAGGGTGGTAGCATTTGTCTTATTGATAAGTAAGAACTATTGATATGTTAAGGAATTAACCTTTTTCTATGTGTTTGTTTCAAATATTTTCCACTTCTTCACCCCCCTTTTACACTTGAGAGCTCTAAAATGCACAGAGGTGGAAAAACATGAGTTCCTGTGTCTAAGGACACAAAATGTTCTGTAGTAATATTCATCGATTGATTTTATGAGAGCTTAGAGAAGAGAGATGAGCTTTTGTGGATGGAAAATTTAAGTCTTAAAGATAGCAAGTCAGGATTCCAATGTTAGATAATATGTCAGTCTCTAGCAAAGGATATACCACCCATATCCCCTAACAGACATTATAAAAATACAATCACATGTGACTTTGGATTCCTCTTCTATGGAGGCTCATGTGAGGCCATCAGTGGCCTCCACATGTCTTCAGCCCCCATGGGTTCATGTTTTCCTATGTTCCACATTTCATAGAGAACACCAGGTCGGTGGGCTTCAGTTTGTCACTTCCACAATGCTGATTTCTGGAACTTATTTCCAAATCACAGTGCTAGAGCAGACAGAGCAATATAACATAGATAACTTTGTAATTTATTATTCAGCACTAATTCTGAAAATGTCACCAGAAGCAGCCACAGGGCAGCAATTCTTGGACGCTCTCCCCAGTAAGCAAGTTCAAGTTAGCCTTTTATATGCCTGAGTCATATTTGCTTTTACCCTCAAGACCTATCATTAGTATTTAGCCCAAATCTCTCTCACACTCAACCCAGATCTTCTCCCAAGATGTTAAGTTAGCCTCATGTGGCCCCACACCTACTATTTACTTCATTCACTTGTGAGACCTACTTATCATTCACTCATTTATAATTTAGAGTTGGTGATGCTTTTGCCAGGTTAACCAATAGTAGAGTAGTCTGAAGGAGACTCTTAGAATCCTGTCCCCCCTGTAAATAGCCTCCCCCCAGAACAGTCAACAAAACTCTCTCTTACGAGTACAAACCTTGCCAGGGTTCTGCCTGTTTCGCTCTTATTATCCCCAAACCCAGTGCCTGGGTGCTCTGCCATTTTCTCTGAATTTACTAACTTGATTCCTTTCTATTGCTACTAGCTGCCTTCAATGCTGTCTTTTTGTCTATAGTAGACCCCTGAATAAATCTCCCCCCAAATCAATATTTCTTAATCAATTGTACTCACAGCACAGATGTGGCCACAAGAGAACAGAAAGCCAAATTTCACCGTCACAAGTCAAAAAGCATCTTTCCATTTGCCCAGGTTGTGATAATGCGGGATTACCACCATGACAACGTGGTTGACATGTATAACAGCTACCTTGTTGGCGACGAGCTCTGGGTGGTCATGGAATTTCTAGAAGGCGGTGCCTTGACAGACATTGTCACTCATACCAGGTATGTCTCTTCATTATCCAGACAAAAAATTCCAAGTGCTTATTATCTACTCCAGGGTAAGTCTTCAATGGCTATCTCTATGAACTCTATAAATTGTGAGCCCTTGGAAGTCAGGGAATAGGGTGACCCTTTCTATTTATGTTCCCTAAGTGCCTATTGTAATATCATGTATGTAGTTCATTCATTCAATTAACATTCTATTCTCCTTGCGCTCCAGAAATTCATTAATACCCAATGATTTAAAATCAGAAAGCTGCTGAGAATGGGCTTTGGTGCCAAATAATAGAGTTTCCCATTCCTACATATTTTTTTTAAAAAACTTAATTTTATTATGAGTTGCCATGCTATTGCTATGTGTTCATGCCACCAAGGGTACCTGGGTAAGGAAGAGGCAAGTGGGAAATTAGTCAGAGTTTTATGTCATAATAAGAAACCTACATAATAGAAATTCTTCAATTCTATTTTTAAATAGTCTTGCAAGTAACAATGGTTAATTGTCATTGTTACCTCTGCTCCTTGTTTCCCTGATGTATCAGTTGTGGTCATTTCATTAAGTGTTTATTGATCACCTTTGATGTGCCAAGCTGTTTCCTGAGTGCTGGGGATACAAAAATACAAAGGATTAAGTCTCAAAGATATTCCATCAAGGAAGTCACAGATTAGAAATAAATACATTATAATACCTGTGCAGAATTAGAAAGATGTATACAAGTAGCAAAGAAGAATACCTGAATATCTCTAACAGGGAGAGTAAAGAAAGATTCCCAATATAAGGTGATAACCAAGATGAGTTTTGAGAGATGCACAGGAGTTTCCTAGGAAGGCAAATGGGGGGAAAAGGGCTTTGAGGCAGAGTGTGTGCTAAGACAGTGTTCCTCAAATTTTAATGTGCATGCAAAGTGCCTGTGGGTCTTAGTAAAATGCAGATCTCGATTCAATAGGAAGGGGCATGATACTATCTTCTAACAAGCTCCCAGATGACACCAATTCTCCTCATTCATGGACTGCCTTGGGGAAGCAAGGGACTAAGGAACAGACCTATTTTTTGAAAAAACACATTACATTTGGGAAACTTAAATTTGTTCTTGGTAGTAAATAAAACTCCAAAGTATTAGGGGATGATTTTATAAATTTTTTTTTTCAACGTTTATTCATTTTTGGGACAGAGAGAGACAGAGCATGAACGGGGGAGGGGCAGAGAGAGAGGGAGACACAGAATCGGAAACAGGCTCCAGGCTCTGAGCCATCAGCCCAGAGCCTGACGCGGGGCTCGAACTCCCGGACCGCGAGATCGTGACCTGGCTGAAGTCGGACGCTTAACCGACTACGCCACCCAGGCGCCCCGGGGGGATGATTTTAAAGAAGGAGAGGAATTGAATATTAGCTGACGGTGCCTAAATCATAAGTGAATCCAAATGAACAATAGGCGGGAAGCAAAATAGCAAGAAGGTATTGGGAGGCCCTGTGAGGGGTAGAATATGCTGCTGTTTCTCCACTAAAATCAAATGATGTGTCCATTGTGACCCCCTACAGCTCTAGGTCTGTAGTAGACTATGTAAAAACAAAAGAACATGAGGGAAGACACGGAACGTTTATCACCAACATTTCAGATGGCAGATCTCTGTTGGTATAGCCATTGGACACAACCACCCAAAAAATACATAAGATAATCTTAACTTGTAGAAAAAAAATATACTGAAGAAACCTAAGCATAAGGCAAATGTGACTTATGTCTAAATTAATAAGAATATGTCCAAAGGAGAGAACTTTTTTCTTGTCCTGGAGAGCTTCAGATAGCTATGCATGTCTCTCTAGAGCCCTCTCTTTGTCAAGGTGGGTTTTTTTGTTTTTGTTTTTTTGTTTTTGTTTTTTTGGGTTTTTTTTTTTGTTTTGTTTTTCAGTTTTTATTGTGTGTCAGTGGGATCCACATAAAAGCTAGCCTCTCTGGAATCCATTATGTTCTCCTATTCTCTCCATCCAGTTTTGTCAATAATATTCCATTGAAAGTGGAGTAGCTCCAGAGAGCAGGGAGAAGTTGTATGTCAAGGAACACTGAATATTTAGAACTTGAAATCCTTTTAATCCTGAATTTAGACTTTAATCCTTAAATCATTCAAAGAGTTTCCTATACGAGATATTCAATAAATGCTTCATTGAATGATTGACTGATTAGTTAAATATCTAACCCCTTGCTACTCAAAGTGTGGTCTGGGGAGAATCACAGCATAATATCACCTAGAGGCTTGTTAGAAATGTAGAATCTCAGGAATTTCCTATGCATGCCAAAGTTTTGGCCCTACCTAGCATCTTGTTAAATTACATCCTACTGATTTTTCTAGAAGGCAAAAGGAAGTGCCAAGCACTTCATACATTAACTCATGTAACCTTTCAAACCACACACCTCTTCAAAACAGAGCCAAGATTTGAGTTTGGAATTGACTACAGAACTGAGGCATCTTTATCCCAATTCAGGCTTCCTTCCTGCAAGAGTAGGAAAGCACAGTCTTTCTACAGTGGATCCTGTACAAAAATTGCAAAGCCACTGAATTCAGAATCAGGAGCATTTGTCACATATGCCAGTTAAAGGTGATTTTTCAGTCAGTGATGGGGGCTCAGATTTGATTAGTTTTTGTTGTAGTTGACCTGTAAGTAATCTTTATGCCTGCTTCAAATAACTCGAATCCCATGGAATCCAAGAAGAATGAATTTTACTAGAGAAGGTGATTGTTGCTTTTGAATTATTTTTAAGGTATATTTGAGCTTATCCCTGCTGATGATGCTCTAGACCTCTGAGGGCTCTGCTGTGGGCAGATGGGAGAGTTGTCATCTGAAAACAATAAAGCGCAACAACCAGCCCACTCATACAAAACTGAGAACACAGAAGTTGTAGGTTTCCACTCTCCCAGACAAGACCATTTCTTCTTGCCTGCCTTTGTAACAGACCGATGCATTACTGGAAGAAGTCTCTTTGAAGAGAAGGGATACCCATCCACTTTATATGCTCAACATCCTCCCAATTGGTCATCTCTTTGGATTTTACTTTGAATCCTAATTTTACTCAGGGTTTGCTGGCATCAACAAGACTGACACAAATTCAGGGTCATCCATTTCCTTGTCCTGCTGAGCTAAGAGTTACTCGGGATTGTTTTTCAAGTCAGTCCTTAAATTTGGGCTCTGGTCAGTCACACCCTCTATCTCTCCTGACAGTGTTCTCTTTTTGTATGACGGTTTGTTTTAGGAGCTCTTTCCACATTTGCTATCTGGTCTAGGCCTCACGCTGTGTGTGACAGGAAGGAAGTTTTATACCCAGATGAGTTAAGCAGATACCTCCTTGCGTCATTTTGAGGGTACCAAGAAGCCCCTGCTATTCAAATAATTCTTCCCACTTAGGTTCCTCAGTGGCTGAAAAGCCATTCATATGAGTTGCAATGTCAGCGTGATGCCATGGGGACAGTGGAAATGCATGGGTCTGAACTCAAAAACAAGTGGGGTTAGAATCATGGTCTGGTCAGTTTCTTAGCTATGTGACACCTAAGGCAGGTTACTTGACCTCAATCTCCTCTGAAACCAGAACCTTTCTTCGGAAGGGTGCAGAGATGACATGTGGGAGCACATATCCAGTGCTGTGCTTGCCTTTCCCATACCCATGATCCATTTGTTCAAGTATCATCCATTCACAGTTATTAGTAACTAACTAAGGCCAGTTTTCTTCTTGATGGAAGGACCTAGAGCAACAGGAATCTCTAGCCCCTAGAGACAGGGCTAGGGCTAGGGCATCTTTGAGATCCAAAGACTGTGTTGTCTGAGTACAGCCTTGAAGAGAACCATAGATGTCCCCATTTCCAAGATGAGGAAAAAAAGAGACCCAAGGAAGTTAAAAGGGCTTGGTCAAGGTCACCTAACAGGCATACTTGAAACGTTGGCTCTATTCAGTACACTCTCTCTGTAGGACTCTGGAGGTTTGTACAATACCTAAGGAATTACCCATGAGAGTCTAAGGAAGTACATTTGCATTAATGACCCAAAAGCCAGCAGTAGGGGGGGTCTCTTTCCTTTGGCTTATATTTGGTCCCTGTCATCATCAGTGCCAAGCCTTAGGTTCTGGGAGTCACATTCTAAGATTTCTTTGTACTTGCCTGTAGATTTTCCAGACATGGGCTGGGGAGCATGGACTGGTACAATAGAACCAAGGGAACTGCCTCTCTTGATCATTTCAAAGATGTTCTTAAAACTGTCTTCACTCCTTAAATGTTATTTCCTTTCTAGAATGAATGAAGAACAGATAGCCACCGTCTGTCTGTCAGTTCTGAGAGCTCTTTCCTACCTTCACAATCAAGGAGTGATTCACAGGGACATAAAAAGTGACTCCATCCTCCTGACAAGTGATGGCCGGGTAAGATTTCATGTTTGGCCTCTCCATGGTTTACCTTGTCACTTTGTCTGTCATGGGCATTCTCCTCCGAAGAATACTTTCTCATAATTCTAAGTTTCCTTACTCACAAGTCACCCACTGCCCTTCCCAGAAGGCTCACCAAAAGGAAATTACTATTCTCTGTGTCATCCTGTTAGTCAGAATTCTCTGTGATCTGAATTTGATGGATGACTTTCCCCTTTAACAATGAGTGTAGGAAGTAATAGAAACTATGAAAATTTCTTTTTCTTTTTTGTTCTTATTTTTGTTGGGGGAGAAGAGAGGACTTTTCTGGGGATTTGTCCACCCTCGTTGTGGGGTTGTGCATGTCTGTCATATCTCTCAGAGTTCCTGAGGGAAATACGAGACAAATTCCAGCAGACAACTTGAGGAGAGTTTAATAACCGTGTCGGCAGATGTAGACAAGTCATAAGGAAGAGAACATGAGGATTAGTGTGGTACTCTAGAATGGAGTGCCACTCTTACTACCCCCTGCCTGAGGAAGTGAGACAGGGAACTGGCTACTGGAATCTGAAAATAAACATTGTTGTCTGAAGTTGGATGCCTGGCAGGAACTCTGATCTTTGGTGGAAGACAGACCACGGTAAATCTGCAGGATCGGAGCTGGGAGGATAAATGCCCAACCTTACTTCATTCCTTCCTTCTGGTCCCTTACGGGTTCTCCTCATTGGCTGAACCCAATCAGAAGCCATCAGTAAGGCCAACACAGGTTGGCCTCCCAGGGCTCAGAGAAGGGAGGAGAATAGATCTGGAAAGGCAAACAAAAGATATCCATCACACTAGCTTATCCCCAGGCCCAGATTTCTGCATTTCCCATTACTACAGCCTGCTCAAGGGATTCTGCTGAAACTCATCAGCCATGCTGGGTTACAAAAGGATATAGAATACAATAGCCAGGGGATGAATGAGTTGACGTTTCAAGACAGTCTTAGTTAGATGGAAGAGTTTTGAAGCATAGATTTTCATCATCTAGACCCTTTTAACCTCCCTGAAACTCCCCCCAGAGGTAATGGCCATGGCATGTAGGGAGCCAGCTGTCCCTTTAATATACCTGTCTTTTAAAACCTCAGCCATGTGGAAAATGTTCATGTCGCATTAGAATTGCCCAAGAATGATCAGAGGGCAGCCAGAAGAAACTGCCGAAGCACTTTGGCTTTTCTCAAGGGAAAAGATTGTTTTGAAATCTCTTTTGTTTTGAAGAGATTGTCAATTCTATTGTGGAAAATTCAGGAAATTCAGAAAAGTATAAAGGACAGAATAAAGATCACCCTTAATACCATTTCCCATTTTTCCCCACATTTCCCTGTATAGCATACTTGCAAACTTGGAATTATTTTTTAATGGGCAGTTTTAAGCACTGCTTTTTGCATTACTCTGGCTGAATTTTTTTAAGTTTTTATTGATTTATTGTGAGGGAGAGAGAGAGAGAGCACCTAAGCAGGGGAGGGTGAGAAATAAGGAGAGACAGAATTCCAAGCAGGCTCCGCACCATCAGCGCAGAGCCCCTGTACCAGTCTTGAACTCATGAAACGTGAGATCATGATCTGAACTGAGATCAAGAGTCCGACGCTTAACCTACTGCACCACCCAGGTGCCCCATGAATTTTTTTTTTTTTTAAGAGGATATGGGAGTATGCCTTAGTCAGCTTTTGCTACATAACAAACCACTCTACACTTAGTGGCTTAAAAAGACAACCATGTATTCGCTCACAGTTCTGGGTCAGCATTTGAGCTGCCCTCTGCTGGAACAGCTTGTCTCTGCTCCATGTGGCATCAGCTGAGCTCACTCTTGCTTCTGTGGCCAGCCTGCTGCTGATGGCCTCACTCCTTCGACCGGCACTTGCCATGTGTCCTGCATCTCCCAGAAGACTATCACAGGCTTATTTCCATGGTGTCTATGACAAGGTTCCCAGCAGGAGCAAGGGAGGCAAGCTTCAATGCACACTTTTGAACCCTCTGCTTATATCTTGTTTGCTAATGTCCCTATGGGCAAAATAAGTCACACAGTCAAGCCTAGATGCATGGGATAGGGAAGTAGACTCTACCTGTTGATGAGAGAAGATGCAGAGTCACATTGCAAAGGGATGTGGGTCCAAGGAGAGGAAAGGTATGTGGCCATGTTGCACATTCTCCCAGACAGGGTGCTATGGGAAATGGGTTGGGACCTTCCCCTGGCTGGACTCAGGAAAGTACTTATGCGAGGTTCCATGGCCTCAGAACACAATTTACAAAGCACTGAACTGGTCCATAGCTTGGCCCTCAGGACTGGTGCTTACAGAAAAAAAGAAAAAGAAAAAGCTGGGCTGTTTCAAGCCAGGCTTTTGCCCCTTATTTCTGGAGACTGCTGACAAAGACTTCCTTGCTACAAGTACATGTCAGATGTCAAAATCAGACATGAGACTAAGATAATTCATTTAAATCAGCTTAAAGATCTCCCCTCCCCACAATGTACAAAAGGTTATTAAATCATTCAGTGTCATTCTTGAGGGTGGACCTATGCTTCAAACATGTCCTGCATTTCCATGTACCCAGCAAAGAGTTCATGGGGGCTGGCACATGGTAAGTGCTTTTAGTCTTACTGGTTTGCTCGCTCCCTCCTTCCACAAATACTCACTGAATATCTGCTCTGTGCCAGGGGAGTTCTAGGTCCTACAGGTGAACAAAGCAAAACTGCTACTTTCATTAAGCTTATTTGGGACATGGGGGTAGGATAAATCCACAAATAAAATCATCTCCAGGCAGGCGGTGATAAGCACTAAGTTTTCGATAATTAATTTAAGCAGAGTAAGGGTATGGTGGAAAGTGATAGAGGTGTGGGGTCATAGAAGTCCCCCTGAAGTGATGATGCTACAGCAGAGACTGAGGGAGTAGGTGCAATGGCTGTCAGGGTGAGAGTGTTCCAGAAGAGGCAACAAGCAGCATGTGGAGTGGATCCTGTGGCTCTTGGCCATGTTGCCCAGAGTGTGCTCATTCACACCTCAGGACAACACACCATATTGACTCTAGTGGGCTTCTTCAGTTTCCATAGAGAAAGGAAATTTTTTTTTTTTTTAAGAATGAGAGCCAAGGGGTACCTGGGTGGCTCACTTGGTTGAGCATCTGACTTGATTTTGGCTCAGGTCATGATCTCATGAGTTCAGGGGATTGGGCCCCATTTAGGGCTCTGTGCTGACAGCACAGAGCCTATTGGGATTCTCTCTTTCCCTCTCTCTGCCTCTGTCCCACTTGCGCTGTCTCTTCCTTTCTCTCTGTCCCTTCCCGGCTTGCTCATGTGCACTCTTTCTCTCAAAATAAATAAATAAACTACTAAAAAAATTTGAAAAAAGAGTAAGAATCAGGATAGAATGTGGCTACTCCAAGAAAATTTTGTACTAATTTGTTTCATACTAATTTATTAGAGCATGAAGTTTTGCAGTGGAGAAAACAGTCTCATTTACTTATTGTTGTTGTAACAAACCACTCCAATGCTTAGGGTCTTGAAAGTCACTTCAGTGTTTTTACATGGCTCTGGTGGTTGGCTGGGCTCTACTAGCCAGGACTGCCCTGACTCGTGGTGAGACACTGCATCTAGAAGTCTTCCTCACTTACATGTCAGGTAGTCAGGGCTGGCTGGTGGCTGGGCATTCAGCTGAGCCATCAACTGGAACACCTACCATGTGACCTCTCTGGGTGGCCTTCCTCACAGCATGGAGGCTGGACTCCAAAAAAACAAGATGGAAGCACGTGGAATTTTTATGACCCAGCCTCAAAGTCCCCAAAGGCCACTTCTCCTGCAGCTACAGGCCTTCCAGCTCAGGAGGAGGGAATGTAAAGCCCTCTCCAGTGGGAGGAGGATCGAGTTTTATGGCCAGAAGAGCTCATGGGCTGGGGGATATTATTGTTGGCTTTTTCTGGAAAACATTGTCACGTAAGCTGTATACTGAGTTTTCTTCTTGGTGGGAGATGTGCAGCATCATTAACCCTTAGAGAAGTACAAATTAAAACTAGGGTATGCCACTTAATACTTAGAGGAATGGCTAAAATGAAAAATAGTGATAATACCACTTATGGGAATGTGAAATAGTAGACACTCTGGAAAACAGTTCCTTTCAAAACTAAAAATGGACTTTCCATGCAATTGCATTCTTAGGCATATATTCCAGAAAAAAAAATGGAAACTTATTTTCACACAGAAATTTCCACACAAACGTTTATAGCAGTTTTATTTATAAAAATCCAGAACTAGAAACAACCCAAGTGTCCTTCACAGAGTGAATGGTCAAACAGATGGTGATTTGTCTATACCATGGAATACCACTCAGCAAAAAGAAACAGGAATGAATGAGTGATACATGTAAGAGCTTGGATGAACCTCAAGGAAATTGTGCTAAGTGGGGGAGAAAAAGCCAATCTCAAAAAGATACATGCTGCATAGTTCCATGTATATTACATTTGTGAAATAACATAATTATAGAGATGCACAACAGCTTAGTGGTTGCAGGGGTGAGGGACTGCAGGGCGATTGTAAAGGGGCAGCACAAGGAGTCTTATGGTGACAGTACAGTTGGGTACCTTGAGTGTGGGGGTTGTTACTCAAGCCTACAATATGATTCAGTTGCAAAGTATTTACACACACTCACACACTGCATACATAAATGAGTTCATGTACAAATGATTACATCCTAGCAAGCTCTATGGACTGTACCAACACCACTTTCTTTGTGTTGATATTATACTACAGTTGTATAAGATGCCAGCAGGAGGGAAGACTGTGTGCACATTTCTTTGCAACTTCTGATGAATCTAGAATTATTTCAAAATAAAAAAATCTAGAAGAGACAGTGAATTGCTCAGGTTTCTTTTAAAAGGATAAATCCTTTCTGGCCTCTTCCAAGACTAGAAGGGAATGATTTGCTATCAAAGTTAAACTGTTTGCTGTTTTTCTGTGGCAGAAATAATGTCTAGTGAGTCACTAATTCGCA